TCACAACCAATCACAAGATTGGTTACGAATCAGTTGAGCAAGACTAACCGAGTCGTGACCTCGATGTCGAAAATATCACTTTTTACAAAAAATGACAAAAATATTCACCAAAATTAGAGAATTGAAGATATCACCACGAAATGAACAAATCTGAGAGAGGTTTACATGCAGTACTTATATTTGTAATATCAAAGTAATTGGACTTGCGGTTTTTAACAAGAAGTCGAAAATATCACTTTTTATCAAAAATGACAAAAATATTCACCAAAATTAGGGAATTGAAGATATCATCACGAAATGAACAAATCTTAAGAGAGGTCTACCCAAGGTACATATACACCATGTATAAAAGCATTTAGGTTTGTAGTTTTCAAAAAGAAGCCGAAAAAGTAAAACATTGACACGGACGACGACGACGGCCGACGGACGCCGAAGGACAATCACTCATATGATAAGCTCCGACAGCGGAGCTAACAAAAGTCCCTGGTCATGCAAAGATCTAATGAAGTGTGATATGAGTTTTGTAATGGAAAATACATGAACATGTTTGGTCAGGAAGTTCTGTGCCGGACATCTGCTGACCGCTGATCTTGACTGGAATTTTGTTCACAATGTACCTACCCCGTACTGATGTACTCAAGCTGTATTATTTACTCGTATGCACGCAAACCCCTAAAAATGTATTTGTCACGTGTACGCCCACCACTAAACCGCGATTTGCGATTCTATTAAAAAAATATTCCGCCGTGTTTTATATTAATATTTAGTCCGAGTTTGCGAGGCTGAGGGTAATAGAAAGGGGTAAGATACGGATCAGGTTATGTATCCCTTGCAATGCCTTACTTCATCCCTTTCCTTAACCCAAAACAACGCAACAAATTATACATCAAGTCAATTTTTGTAAGCTGTTATTCCTACTACCTTGAATTTAATTCGAATAAACTCAATTAAAACGCAACCCTCTATAGAATTGCTAGTTTGATTTAACCGCCACCAAATCGCAAGTAAACAGAATTGCGTTCTAATCGAACATAACGTAAATTCTTAAACACAAATCGCGGCTCAGTAATTGGCATACGTGTACACTCCCCTGCGACGGCATTTTTTTTTTTTTTGTGATTGCGAAATGTAAATTGGCCAAGATGCAGCTTTTCGATCAAAATGAAATAACGTCTAACCAGTTAAGCGGGAGGGACGTTTCCCAGCAATTTAATGAATAAATACCGTGTTCATTATTATTTGAGTATCACACTCAAATTACGATACGGGAAAAACGCTTCGTCGCAAGTCGGCGCTTTTTTTTTAAAGAAAGGCGTGTTGAGTACAAATACGCACACTCAGATTTATTACGAAACACTTGTAATTTTAATATATATTTTTAAAATATAAATAAGTAAGTACATGGAGTCTTAAGGTCATTATAATAACGTTCATAAAAACCCTATATACTGCCAGCTGTAGAGTGGTAACCAGTATATATATTCCAGCAGTAAAATATCAAACTGACGATTGCCTGAGGTAAAAATGGTAAAAAATACGCTTTTGATAAATGTATTAAAACAAAACAAACAAAAAATAATAATAATATCAAACAATATTCATTGCATGTTTCTATCATTCTTCTGAGAAAGATCTTACATAAATTGATCTCTCTGGCGTTTGACGTACAAGTAAATACTAATAACACGTTTTAAGAGTTTTGCACTGACTGACGTTGGGTACAAAATGACGTGATGCGCATTAAACTCGCGTTGATGTTATGCGCATTGAACGCATGTTGACGTGATGCGCGTTAAAACTCGCGTTGACGTTGTGCGCATTAAACTTGCGTTGACGTTATGCGCATTATACTGCGAATGCCAAACTCACAATGACGTCACGTGCATTTTACTCGCAGATCAAAATGACGCATGTAATAATGTTCCTTAAACTGCTCAATGCAAAACTCGCCATGACGTCACGTGCCTGGCAGACTACACAATGTGATGATGACACCATGTACTTCGGGCAATTCAGTGTGAAACTGGAGTCGGAAATTGTAACGGAAAGCACACTGAACGATTCGAGGTATCGGGCATATGAAATACAAATCGAATTATGAAATATATTATCGAAGGTTGGCATGCAAGAATCCATAAAGTATATATAATTGTCAAACGTTCAGAATATTTATGGATTATCTAACGTTCCATTGACCAACAGTCACACAAAAGTAATACCAGTTTTACTAATGAAACAATGACGTATATAATTTTATGCTAATAGTGTCAAAACACAAGAACTCATAAGTACGTATCAGCAATGACCGACTTCTATAGAAAGTAAAATAGAACGTTCCGAAATTTTCTCTCCCGGTTCTCCAAATGTCACAAAATTGAATAATGACACACAGTATTACATCGCCACAGTCGTCGCACCGCATCGCTATAGGTCACATGTTACGTATACAACGGGGGTAAAATTCAGACGCGCCCTGCGTGAGGATTGTGGGTATTTAGAAAATAAACATTTGGTTATACACTTTATGGTGTTTTGCCAAACAGCGACAACAGCAAATAAGCAGCTAAAATGGTATGAAAGACTGGCTCTCTGACTTTATATAATTTGTGTCGTCTATGTCTTTTTTTGAAACCAAAAAAGTCGAAATTCGGTATAAAGTTATTTCTCTATTTACATAATATAATACAAGCAGAACTGTAATTCCCCACTTTCCCGGCACATTGTCTGACGTCAACGTCCAGTTTTCGTCTAGGATGATACTAGAAGAGTCAAACCTGCATGAACCTACATGTATATTCATAACGTTAAAGAACGGTGGTCGTCGCGAAGCAAGTGTTTCAAATAAACAAACAATGCATGTGTTGTGTACGTCGCTTTGAGTCCCATATCGAACAGGACGCGGCGCGATGACCGCCGCCCTTTAAGATATAACTGACGGTCGGCAAACGTCTAAGCTAATTTCATGCACCGTAACACGTGGATACTTGTAAACGAAGGCACATAGTCGTTTCAGCTCACATCCGTAATACGGGTTGTTCTAATAGTCTGAAATGTCGTGTATTTACAACTGTTTCGTAGCCTGTCACACCAACGTATTGCTCACTTCATATTTATGTGACCTACTACTTCGAGTTCAAGTTATACATTTAAAGAAGGCACATATAAATTTGCATAATGTAAATAAACACATCAATTGAATAACACAAAAAGAAGCATTGCTTTCGATGGGAGAATAATTTTAAAAATATATTAAACAGGTATAAAATTTAGCTGGTAAAAAAATATCATTAGCAAAACCAATTCTGTCACGATTATAAATTAATTTGGTGAAATGTGTGACTTCGACAGATAAATGGAATGTTTTAAATTTACCAAAGCACACGATGGTATTTTGTTGTTTCAATTTTGTGTCGATCGATTGCCCGACAAAATATTAAGAAGAATTATGGAATTCTTTTACGCTTTTTTAATGAACAAAGTAGCTTTCCTTACTGGCGAGTCATGTATATATCTGCTTCCTCCATTTTTGTAAAAAAAATGTTCGTCTAGAAAGGAAGTGTTTTATGTTGCCGTGATGCATTATGGATAATTGTAGCACATCGAATAATCACCAATCACCAATGCTGGTGTATATGTGTTCCCGCGTGGCATTGTCAATTCACTCTGTAAGGCAGAGTCAGAAATTGGCCACCAATAGGTTGTCCAGTAATTAAACACTGGAATCAATATCGTCCGCCAAGTGGATCTATTCCATATTCCCACAGGTCTTCGTAGATAAAAATAGGTACAGCATATATGGATAACATCAATTGTACATGCTAGTACATGCACATCACGTGTTCAGTTCAGTTTTGTTAATGTGAAAATATATATTCAAACGTAGGTAAAACTTTTCCCAATGACAGCAGTATTACCGTAGGGTGTCACATGTATTTCCTGGCAATAAGGTGCTCCATCAGTTTCTTCCAAACCTTGGACAGCACAGCTCTATATTCCTACACATACTGCAGTCCCATTGCAATGTCAGTCGGTAACATTTTTTTTTTTGGTAGTCGGATCAAACTTTTGTTTTCTTTATTTCCACGGGAAAAGGCCTATTTCCCATTCGTGCAGACATTGATGAAGATCTGGTCAAGCCTCCTGTTGTTGGTGGCACTGATCGCTGTCTAAACGATGTGCGTGTTGCTGGTGTTCCAAAATTAGATGCTGCTCTGCTCACTCTGGATGCAGGCTGTTGTATTCTCGAGGGGGTCGCAAGTTTTGCTGAGGTATTTGGGGTTGGTATTTTAGACATTGATGAGGGTGATTCATGCACTGGTATTTCCGGTATTGAATCTGGGAATGTGGGAGTTAGCAAATGTGGTTTTGTGTCCACTGAATGTGCGGTCAGTGATATGGCAGTGCTTGTTGCGAGTGTATCTATTGTATTGGATGCTGATATATCACCTCTTTCAGTGGTATGTTGAACAACTTCGCGTGACCCTGGGACTGCACTAGTTGTAGGTCTGGAACCTAAAGACTGACTCCTTTTCAACTTTGAAGGCTGATTTTTATCTGTTTTTTCAGATTTCCCTGTTAGTTTATTGATAAGCTTGCTCACCCTACTTTGTTTTGTTGGCGACTTAACAGGGATGCTGCTTTCCCCTTGGAGTGCTGGGTCTGGCCATGCTGCTATGGGAGTTTTGGTGATTTCTTCAAGACTACGATTTCTTTCACTGTCCAACGTTTTCAACACATCCGGATCTGAGATGTGATCTACCAAAGGTGTCAGTGATCCGGTCACTGATGAGACTGTCTCAGCAATACTTCTAAGGTACATGCTCCCACTGTTTGCTGAATGTTGTGAATCCAAACTATACGTTGAATCACTTGTGATGCTTTGCTGACTTCCTGAGGCTGAACGTTGGGGGCTTGATGTTTTTGATGGGCCAGGAAAAGGTGATGATGGTGTCACAGCTGGTGAAGGTGTTATAGCTGGTGTTATTTGGTTATGTGGTGAATTTACTGGTGAACTCGAATTACTTTCAAAGCTAGTGTTTCTACCTAATGACTGTTGCACAGCTTCCTTTTTCCATGCTGACTCAACATAGGTGTTATCATGTGTTGATTGTGGCATCATGTCTAATGTTGTTGGACGCGAAGCTGGGATGCTGGTCCCTTTTTTAGGCTGACCTTGATAATTATTCAACCCTAAACTGGCAGTGCCCATTCGTATAGTTCGTGGTGTTCTTGGCGACGGTGGAATCTTTTCTGATGGTGTAACCTGGCTGGTAGTTGGGCTTAAACGTTTCCTGGTTTTTTGAACAGGAGCTGGTATTTTTTTTCCAGTACCAGCCACTGGTGTTTTAGTGACTGGTTTTGGTAATGATGAAGTTTGTGGCGTCACTTTTCCACGAGAAGATGCTGTGGGTTTCATAAGTGAGTTCCCTGTGGATGGTTGACGTCTTTGAGGTTGAGGCTGTGGTTGTTGTTGTTGGGGGGTACTGCTCGGCATCATTTTTGCTGGTCCCGGAGGAGGTTTTCCTGGGGTCTGCTTGTCAGGTGGTTTTGAAGCTAATGGTTTCCTGAAACTTTTTCTTGGTGAAGGGGTTTCTATTTTCCTGTTTGCAGCTGGTATTGCATTTGGTCTACCTCTAATTGATCCAGTTCTGGCATTACTGAAATTTGATACTTGGGCAGGAGAGGCTGGTCTACCACGGATAGAGCCACTCCTAATGTTACTCAGGCTACCAGCAGGACTAGGTGTACCTCTTAAAGAGTTTCTTGGTGATGACAATCTTTTTGGAGATGATCCCCTAATAGATGATCCTGCTGGGGATTTTCTTAATGGCGGCGTTGTTGTTGACTGCCTACCACTAGAATCAGAATCTCCATGTCTATCACAGACTGGTGACGGTGTCGACTTCCTTCTTTGTCTAGCTGCTTCTATTGCCACATCTGTTCTGGAAGGCCCCTTTGGAGATGATTTTTTCACATTGGAATTTGTTGGCAACTTAGATTTCTTTGGTTCTGCTACTTGCATCAATTCTGCTTCTATGCTAGTTGTTGATGTTGCAGAACCTGGCCGCGCTTTTGGAAGACACTTTGATTTTGCCCCAGGTCTCAATCTTGCTTGCTTTTTTCTATTATCAACTGAACTAACATTTGAAATTGTGGAGCATGTGCTAGCAGCTGACCCACTTCGAGACAAATACCCCTTTCTGCTATCAGGTTCTGATGCCAATGAATCCAGAGAATCTCGACTGTTACTTCTGTTTCTTGCAGTTTTCTTCATCAATGATTGTACAGCAGTAGTAGGTTTCCTAGCAGAATTATATGTTGGCTTTTTGTTTTTGTCTGTCTTAGGTAACTGTTTAATTCGAGATGATGGATTTGTTTCTGTCTTTTGTTCAGCTTTCATAGACGATGATTTTGTTGGAGCAGTAAGCCTTGATCGTTTTTCTTCTTTCTGTTTTGAAACAATCCCTTGTTTCTCTACATTCTTTGGCGTACCTTTATCAGGCCTCAAATAGACTTCAAATAAAATTTTCTCTTTTGGTTTTGGTGATGTGGTTACAGGTCTGTCCTCAGTATCCTTATCATCGAAACAAGACTCAACATCACCTTCTTCACCGCTTTCAGAGTTACTTCCATCCAAACTGTCTTTGTCTGTTCTATCTGATGCTACACTAATATCAGCTGACTTTCGTTTGTTCAGTTCACTGTCCGACTCAATCATTAGAGTGTCACGGCCTGATGGAATATCGTTTACTGTAGGCTTGACAACCAAATTCTTTTCATTGTCATTGATATCCTTCTTCAAAACCACAAGAGGTGAATTGTCTACATTTGTGTTCATGGATTGTGGCTCACTTTGCTGGGTAGCATGAGATATGGACACTGTTTTTGATGGTTCTATGCCCTTATTCATTTTTTGAATCTTGTGGTCCTTAGTAATTTCTTCACCATTTTCATTCACATTTATTCCACTGTCAGTAACAGATTCTCTGCGTTTCATTTCTTGTTTCATTTCAGCAATGTCTTTGTTAATTTCAGCCTGCTGCTTGCCAATATTCTCCCAAGCCATTTCCTCATCATCTTCATTTACTTCAGGCTTTTGTTGCAGGTTATTGCAGGATTCTCCAATTTCTATCTCTTTTTTCTCATCATTGGTATCCTCCTCAATTACTTGATTGACACCTGTCAAAAGATGTTCAATCATTGTTCTATCCTTAGTTTTTCTACTCCGGAAGACAAAATAAGGAGGCTCATCACTGTTTTTGAAAAACTCATGTGCAGGAATGGGTTTCTCTTCTATTAGGCTGTCTTCTTTTATTGGTTGATGCTTATGTAATGCCATTGACGAATCCTCCTTTTTAGTGTCCTCCTTGTTTGCATGCAGGTCATTCATAGAAGGTTTTTGAATCTGTGAAACTCGTCGAATTCTTGGAGCTAAATCAGCTTTTTTGTTTTCTTCCTCCTGTGCTTGTTGTTCAAGTTGATGCTTATGAATCAAAGAGTCTTCTATGACATTTAGTGTTGACTCCACATTTATTTGATCAAATTTCATATGCAGTCTCTTCCTGGTTGTTGTTCGTGGCGACTCAACTTTTTTAGGACTTTCAACTTCACTCTTATCATCATCATCTTCCTTGTTTACTTCACTATCTTGTTCACTGTCTTGTTCACTGACTAAACTGTGTTTGTCTGTCTCATCAGCCAAATGCTTATTTTCTGTAAATGTTTTTTCCACTGCATTTGTGTCACTTGTCATAGTGGTAGTTCTAGTAGCATCCATATTCTGCATTGCCGTCTTAGCTGATGGGTTGAGGGTTTTAGAAGTGATATCTTGGCTCTTATTCTCATCAATGCTATACTTAATTTTCATGCCATCTTCATGTGTGTCTAGTTCTGTTGCATAACGAACACGGTAAGTGACTTTGTTGGCTTTTTCTGAAGGTTTAGGACCATCATCTAATTTGCTGATTGGAGTGGCAGGTTCAGATGAGGCAGGTTTCCCAATAACAGCAAATATGGAGCTTTCAACTTCAGATGCATTGATTTCACTGCGTGCTCGTCTTCTCTCCCTCTTGATAATTTTCTGATCATTTTTCACTGCTACCTCTTCGCTTGACACAATACCCATAGTTTGGGGTTGGAGTACTTCAGCAGCTTTTTCGTTCTTTTCTCTTGGCATAATCTTTCCCTCTTTGTTTTCTAATGGTTCTTCTTCCCTTGATAACCTTTTCTTCCATCGTTCTCTTCTGGCAATAGTAGACACAGCAAAGTCAGCATCATTAGTGACAGCAGTACGACGAACACGTCGTGGAGTTGGAGGAGGTGTTGCATCTGAGTCTGAATCCTTGCTAACAGAAGTACTCCCTCTAAGCACCTTATCAATATCACGACTTTCTATAACACTCCATGGACGAGGCTTCCTATCTCGCTTGTGCCTCCTCAACACCCCACCTTCTATGCTAGGTCTATCTCTTTGTAAATCCTTATCAACTTCGCCTGTATCCCCTACACTCCTTGGTCTTCTTAGTTGTGATTTCCAATTAGTGTTTTCCAAGTTATCTGTTCCTAAAGAGTCTGTTGTAACACCTCTAAAATCATTTCTGGTCCTTCGTTTTAACCGCAAGTCTGTTTCTGAATTATATATTTCTTTTTCACCTATTCCAATTGCTGCATCTACATCTCCACTACCGAGAAAACTTTTATGTCGTCTCTTTGCACCATCAAAATGTCTCAAGGCACGGTCCACTTCTCTGGCATCAATAGAACTCCTAGTCCTGCCTTGCAACTCATTCCTATCACCACCATCAAGCATATCCCTTCCAGGGGAGTCTGTTCTCTCCCTTTGATCATTTGTAAAATTTGGTTTAGCTTTCCGTCGTGACCTGCGCAGACTACCGTCTCTGCGGAAATCAGACTCAGCCTCCAAAAGCTCTAAAAGTTCATCATCACCAGGTGAACTGTTGATATTTCGAAATCGTCTACTGGATACAGAACCGAATGGTGAATCATCTTTACTACTTGAACTACTTGTAGAGTAAACAGAAAACCGTCTTTCATCTACTGGATCTTCCTTCCCTGTTTCAATAATCTTTTCCAGGCTAAATTGTTTTTGTCGCCCTGATCGTCGCAAACTATTTCTATTAAATCCAAATCCAACATTGTCATCTGCTGGCAAATTGGGAGAATTCAGTGGAATGCCATCAACAGACTGTTCACACAACTCGCCATATTTTTGTTGTGTAAATCCACTGCGAATGTCTCCCAATAACATGTCCACAATTGGTTTGTCATTGCCAGGTAAGGCACCGCCACCAGGCAAGCTTCCAGTACGAAACTGGCGTCGACGTTTTGCTGCTTCCTGCTCTTCACGCTGTTTTCTTCTAAGTTCTGCTTTTTCCTCTTGAATTTGCCTTTGTCGATTTTCCTAAAACAAAATAATATGGTAGAACCTTATAAAACACATTGAATATATTAATGTGTTGAAAAAAATATGTGTATCATTTATGTGTTTTTAATCACCTGCACCAGAATGAAGTAGTGCATGTGAACTACAATACCCAATTTTTTCAAGACAAAATAGAACTTGAAATTAGGTACCACCTTCCAACTTTATACACAAGTCCCCCATGCAACTCGCAAGCTAGGTTAGACAAAAAAGATCAAAAGTCTATTATAAATAGTAATGTTAATAGCAAGTATATCTGCATGCTCCAAGGAAAAAATAGATAAAGCCATGTGACCAGCAAGACATTTGAAGGTCAAAGGCAAATGCCACAGGGTAAGATAGTGTACACTTCGGACTTTCAGAACCAAGTGCGCCCTCTACAACCGGAAAAAGCTGACGCTGCATGCTATACTTGCTCAATTCCCCCGCTTGCGCAGGTGACAACCCTCCCGCTTTAACTGAATGAATTTTCCCAGGCAATTCACGACTATATACAACACACAGGGCTCAAAGCCCTACCCCGAAAACGGTATTTAGAAAATTATCAGGCAAACCGTACGCCTTCTCAACCAATCTTGTAACAATATTTATTTAATCAAAGCACATTGAACGATGGTTTGAATAAATGCATACAAAAATCAGACCACTGTACTAATTCTGCCAGGAACAAATCAACAATACGCATGATGTGTATGAATGATTTACATTTAAATCTAATAAGCATAAATCTGATTCTTTGAAATTACAGGGTCAGAAATATTCACGTTTATGATGGACCACTAGAGTGACGTAACAATGCCTTATTCGCGACCATTTTCCAGACGTCAGGAATACCTTTATAAACTTGTTTTAAAGACATACGAAGAAAGGAATAATATATTAATAGTCATATTGTCACGAAAACATACATATTTTAGCAATGTTGGTACGTATTTACAACGTATTGTAAATGCTGAAGTCAAATTAAATTGGACAATGTTTCTGGAAACGAATATAACACATTTATCAACTTTCAGTGGTAGAGGGCGCACTTTAGTTCTGAGTTTCGGAAAAGTTGCTCTCTTTGGTTTTGGTGTTCTGACACTGAAAAGTGTACACTAACCACACGGGGTAACCAAACATGTTTCCTGTCATAAATACGCCACCAGACTTAAGGCTGTGAGTGTAGATAGATATTGACATTGAAGAAATCTGGCGCAGTCTAGTTTGCGTTGGTAGCAGTAAAACCCAGCAAGTCCAATGCAATAATTTCGTCATCCGTATTGTCATCCGTATTGTAAACTCACCTCAATGGCTTTCTTGAATCGATCACAAAACGTCTGGAAGATTTTAATGCATTCTTCTAATTTGAAGCTTTTTTCGTCATCACAGAAATATTCTATAAGCTCTCCTTTTACACGTTCTACGTCACTCAAACATTCTCTGACGTATTCCAAATCCTCTTGTGCATTCTAATATTGAAATAAACAAAGAACAATGAAATAAATTAAAGTTCCCAATCTGTTGAGTGTATTGATTTCGTAAGAAGTACAAAGATATTATCTGACATGTATTTCAGCTGTTAGGATTAAATTCTCAAATTTTAATGTTAATTATATTTGTCTTTGTTTAACTTGCTCTACGGTCGTCACCAGCACGTGTTCGAATTCCATGTAAACAAACAAATGTATTTTACACGGGTTGTATACGTCGCTACAGGTCCTACATCGAACGCGGCGCTGCGCAACAACTGTAGAATATTTTCGATAATGCAATGTATAAAACAAATCACAAGACATTATTTAATGTGACAGAAAAGTGATAAAATATGTTGATTTTGGCAGTCAGAGGTTTTATGCATTGGAAGCAACACCAGCATTGGTTTATGTGGCTTGCAGTAATTTTTTTTTTAGTTGGTCTCCCATAGTTACATAGATTGTACTTTGAACTACTATCGTGTTTTTTTAACAAACACATACATGTATTGAGGAACCAAAGGATGCCACGTGTATTTTTAAGATTGGGAGACTGGGAGACTTTAATCACGGCCACCGAATGCAAATAGCCGTATATTATCTAACCATAACTTATATTTAAACAACCTTGCGTAATTGATTACGTCATAATTACCTCCAGGAACTCCTGTAGCTGAGTTTTGACTACGTCCTCACTTTTTTCCACTTGTTCAAGCATCGTCGTAACTTTCTGGTCCAGTGCTACGAAGTCCGTTTTTAGGGTCTCTATAGATATTTTAGACGCTTTCTCGAGGTGCTTTACCTCATCGGAGAAATCTAGAAGACTTTTGTCTTTTTTTTCTGCTTGCTGTGAGTTTAAAGTAATGAAAATATTTAATTTTTTTAATTATTATTTAATTAATTATTAATAGCATTCGTTGATTGGTTGGTTGGTAAATTAGCCTAATCCCAATAATGGGCGGCCATTTGTAGTCTATTCATATTAGAATTGTGGTCTATGAACACTTACCATCACAACGTAATGCATGAAGTTCATTTTGGGCTTATTAGCTCTTGTTTCCACTAATTTTAATAATGAAGTTATCTTGAAACCAATGGCATTGCCTGCATAGCCACCCTAATAAGACAACATACACTTGATTAGTAAAGAACGATATTACATGTATTTCTAAAATTCAGGCTTAATTTAATACAATTAAAATAGACGACTTTTGGTTTTGAATACCATGTGATATTTTTGTCCGAGTACATCACACAGTCTGACCGCCTCGTACGTAGCAAGCCGTGCAATAATTACTGAAGTCGTCCATACAATATTTCCCTGTAACACCACTGCATTGCAGGTATGTTTAATTTGAAACTACAAGGAATCCTGAAAACGTCGCGATAGTTTTGACTCATTTGTGTGTATGCACGAGACAGTTTGCCGTGCGCGTCATAAACGATCTGCGAACGAGGCTACAAAGTGATGACATAATTGGGCGGAATACTAGTATCACGCGTAAAAGAAGCCTACAAATGATCTATGGGCATAGGAGCATGGAAATTAATGGTTATAGAGACAAGACTATAACGTTTCACTAAAACAAAAATAGGGAATAGCTCTTCGGAACAGTACACAGCTAATGAATGCGTTGCTTGGCAAGTTGCTTTGGGGTCTCTGTTGGTGTTGATCCAGGGTGTCGATCGGTGAAATGACGCTGGAATTTCTCGTGTCAGTTACCAGAACACGTGTCTGTGTCTGCGCGATTTTACGCACATATCTTTTACCGAATAAATACAAATGTAATTTAAAATTACCTTTTCCAACTTTTGTTTTTGAACTCACTGAAAGAAACCCTCGCAGACCAATTAGCCGGTAACCTGCACAACATATTTATATGCCATACAGCTAGTATCAGTTTCATTGCATTAATATCTCTACACATTTTTGTAATAATATTTGCGTGAATAAAACCCGCTGCGAGATACACGGCATCTTATCACATTCCTATAACGTCCTTTATTTAACTTATTGCTTAGAGGCAAATAGAACCATTTTAGTATTGCATCACTATGGTAACGAGACTTACTGAGTTAATGAAGTTTCCGGTAAGGAGCACCAAATATAGTATGTCGCTCAGCGACTTGCTGAATTTCAATTCTGAAACAAACAACGATTTAAATGTAATTATTATACATTGAACACACACCAAGACTAATACTAGGTTAAATCGAATTCACTCTCGCGTAGTGACGTCATATACAGTGTTTTAATCGCAATGCATGGTTTTAATCTCACCTTTTGAGGCTTTGACTACGCATTCAATCGAAGGCTCTAGATAATCCAGTGTCGTTTCGAACTCTTCTTTTAACAGCATGCCTTCTATGCGCAGTTTGTAGCTACAGGCGAAGGTAAATAAGGCGTAATTTAACGTAAAACATTGTCTGGGAATGTGATCCTTCTAGCTTAGTACCAACGATATCTCGAGCTTAGAAAACTTTTGTATTTCATTGGTACTGTAGCGGCGTATAATGTAAATGACTATATATTAGCGAAAATAAATTCCAAGTGAAAATAAAGTGTTTCACAGTATCAGAGCCGAGGTTCATAGTCTCAAAACCGTTATAATAATAATGAACTCGTCGTCGCGCGATTATGGACGACATATTGTTTGAACATTAAAATAATCCAAAGTCTGAACAATGGTACAAATGGGATTGCAAAGTTGTCTCCCTGAATAAACAGATAAAGATTTATTGAAGTACATGTATGTTTCATCGTGGAAAGTAATAAGACTAGATTCCATGTAATAATAGCCAATAATAATTAAATTGTTTCCATCTATCCGTCACTGATAAGTGCTTCAAACAGAGTGCCGTATTTGACCCGAGTACGTACCATTAAATAAAACTGACCGACAAAGGTCACGTGAACACTAACCTTGATATGTCGACTAACATTTTTAAAAATTTCTCTGCATTGCCTAGTTTAGTTGCATCGCCGTCGAATGATTTAAGCATCTCAACCTAATCAAATAAAATAGGAAATATCTCCATGAAAATCGGTAACAAATTGGCCATTCCAAATCATCAGCCTGAGTGCTCTCACTGCAAAGATCGCCCTCACACGATCACTGTCCACACTGTAACCAATGTCACATAAATATCGAGTTAATTATGATCGCTCACCTCATCCGATTCTGGTAGTATTTTCAGCAGCCCTTTCAATTTCTCCGCTCCAATTACGTCACCCTTTCCCTCCGTTATTAACTGGATTATCTCTTCGTTTGTACTATTTAAACAACAGAAAGTATTATTATAATCAGTCGTTGTTTTTCTGCAATTAACTTGGTCAGACTTGAAAACTATGTCGATCGATTTCAGGGTTACTGGAGATGTAGGTCGATGGGCCGCATTATTAAAACATCACTGTTGTAGATCATAGTTATCGGACATTTCATTTTTATCCACTGGAAACCACACCATTAGTTCCAGGGGCACGATTCTCATTCATGCAATGAACGCTTTAAAGACGGATCGAATTGGGTTTTTGTGTTCTTTGATTAACTTGAAATCCGAGAGAATGCGAACTAGAACAGTGACAGGTGGAGTGGATCGGAGGGTTGTCTTGTGTTCTTTGCTATGCATGCTTACCTTTTGAATTGTTTCAAAAAGATGTTTATGTTTAGACTTCGCTTGCCGTCCAGTAAATTGATCTGTGAAGAGTGAAAGAAGTATAGGACCATCATTGTTTTAAAAGGCACCTGACTCTGAGTTGAGGCAGTCGTTTGTTTCAACGTAATTCGTTATTCTGGACAGTGTTTGGCGAGATGCATGGCCTACAGTTAGTTCTTACATTCCTTATAAATGAGGTCGCAATGTCTTAGTAAAACAAACAAGCAAATAAACACGCGAACATTGAACTGAAATTCGTATGTTATAGACAATCACGACCATTACTCATTGATTGGTCACAGAAAGTTATATACAAGTGCGCCTATCAAACGTGCGCCTATCATTATTGTCTAGGTGGTTTGAGACATATTTTTGGCTTATGTTGCTCACAACTACAGTAGAATATTTAAAAGTTCCAGATAATGTACTTTACATTTTGGGATACGCTGCCATGATATGTACTTGCATGCCTATTCAGTTTACACCGAAAAATAAAATTTTTAAAAATTGTGATAGATTGGGGACGGTCGTATCATATTTGTTGACGTCTTAAAAAACGTCACTGCTTAATATTCAGAAGTTCAAAAATGTATCTTGACTAACCGATGTTTCTGAATTAACAGATTTGGTACTAACTTTGCAAAGAGAAGGAATGACTCATTCACACACACGTTTATCGGGTCAAGTACTAGTGAAAAAAGCACCGCCCCTCGATTAAACCGCCTTTATTTCTCACAGTTCATTAACGTGTACAGTCGCCCACCTTGACATATGCCCGCCAGCAGTGAACTACTAGTATTCTAACAAATCTTCTCAGCACTTGGTGTTTACTTTCTCTGTTTGTTTAATGTGGGGGCTTTCGTGAATTTCGTCGATTATTCCTTGAACAAACCGTGGTGCGAAAGTTTCAGTTAACGGTACATTCTACTCCCCATTTTTTGTATAGTGTTGCTCCCCGCACGGCAGATTTAGAGCGCTGATTTTTTGGTAATTTTGCCGTGAATCATCCCAAATTCAAAAACAGGCTTTCGAGTGAATTCGCGGCAAAACAAATAACAAAGACACTAAACGTATTGACGCAGTAGCTTAAGTTCATTGGTTGGGAACTGCAAATATATACCACTGTTGTGTACCATTCAAGTGTCACCATGAAACCCCCTTTCAGCATTGGAATTGACGGGAAACAACGACGAGAATCGAAGCCACTGAACCGGTGAACAAATTCGGTTACGATGCTGATACCCTCTTTCTAAAAGTGTTTTTACATGCGAAATGAAGTAGTCTCCATACAGACAGGTCACCGAATCTGTGCTTCGTATAATCCCCACCAATTGTCCGTCTCAAGTGTTTGCTTGAAGCGGTATCGGCGATCAGGTTACCGTTACTGTGGTAACTAACGTCTTCTGGGGGGTAGATGTTTGGGTTCCGATGTCGGTAACATGGATACAACTATGGCCGATGTACTGATAACTCCTGTATTTACAGTTTGTGGTGCTGTAATGTTCCTAAAATAGTTTGTTTATTTTGACGAAACTCACAACGAATCAACTTCGGTTAATAAACACAAGTATATTTCTTGTGTTAGGTCTAGTATAGTTACACCATACTGACCAGGCAGCAACAAAAATACGCAAAACTAAGCCAATGATCCGGGATAATACTACTGGGGAAATACAAACTAGCAGCACGCTCCTACAACCACCCTACTCTACGTGAATAGTAAGCAGTATTCCCACACATATGTAACCAATGGTTACCAACTACGCTTCGAATGTAAATTAGTTATCAGCGTAATCTGCTAGAACTATTTCTAAAGATGGAGGCGTTTGGCACTTGGAACTAGTTCATGTCACTAGAATTGTTGGTTAAAGCGGACACTGAAATAAACTGATCATGCTAACAGTTATCACCATCAATTTTCATTGGAACATTTTTAGCGTTGTTTATTTATTTAGACTTTGATGGCACTTTCGATCCCGACAGCCGGTGCCCTGGACACAACCATTTCTACAGACGTGGTAGTAAAAATCATAGACAGTATGTACTTTGTTTTTCAATTTTTCACGGCTGTGTGTAATATTTCATAATGTGTGTATAATATTGTGCACACGGGAACGAAATTGTGTGTGAAATTTGACTAAAATTCACTTATACTGTGACTATCATCTCAGTAATGCGGTGGAGATAATATACTACTTCTATTTCGGATTAATAACTGTTCTGGTTATGCCGGTGATGACGTAACGCGAACTCTCAATGTTCACTTTGGTGATACGCAGAGCAGTCACTGCTAATAAACTACATTCAGAAATATACGTTCTTTTATTTCGTGTGAAGTTGAGTCAGTAAGGCATATAATAATTAATAACAAAAACAACTGATAACACAATGGTTAGTTGAAAGTGGGGGAGTCGTCACTTGCGCATGCGTCAGATGACCATAGCGTGTCGTTGTTTACAAACAAGCGTCTACCCATGAGCTTTTGCGTTTTTAGCGTGTGTTGTTATCTCGCTCGAGACTCAATTCCCGCGCGTGCGCAGGTGACGACTCACCTGCTTTAAGGATATTTCTAGACAGCAAGTAAAACACATCTTTAATTCGAGCTCCAGTGAATCACAAAGAATGGCGTAGCGTCACATTTTTCATTACAGTGGAATACTATATTTCGACCTCGAAATATTTTTAGTAACTGTTTGCATTTTTTGTAGTGATAACACACACCAACACAATGGATGTTGTTTATTCAGCGTTTAATTATATTACGTAATTCTAGTAGGTACCACGTGACATGAATAGGATGTTATAAGGGCTGCTATGAGGTAATGGATTATTATGTTTTAACAAATATGTTGTTTTTATGTTTTATTCGCGGAGGTTTACTACGTACTTAAGATCAAAAGATCACACGGAGGTCAGTGCATACTAATAATAGTTTCTGAAAAATATTGAAATGACAGGCTGATGGCATTATCTTTACGGTGTATGTAATACGATCACGAGGTTACATTAATAGAACTTACGTAATCGTAGAACGCGATGTACCACGTGACAGAAAGCATACGAATACAACGTGCGCAGACGATAAATAAATAGTCAACGCCAAGACATTTATAAATACGTCTGTCGTTATTTCGGGATTTTGCTAACTCATTTGTTTGTTTGAATCGAACGTCTTCGTGAATAATTAATCATACGACGCTTAGAGACGTCATATGAAACATACGTTATTATTGCTGAGTATTGGCAATATGCGCGAGACATTACAATGCATGCAACGAACTTGTCACTTTACTTACACCTGCCGCCCGTGGTGAAAGTGGAGATATAACGTGACTGCAGTCACTCGAAAAAAAATACATGATCATAATAATAAATGGCGTTGGGTGGTTCATAACTATTATTGTATGTATTTATGTTCCTTACCATACAAAAACCCTCTGAAGGTTTTTTAGTAGTGTAATAAAGTTATTATTATTATATGTATGCATGTCTGTCTTGATGAACAACAGCCATGGTTTTACGAATTTCTAGGCTCGAGGCTGGATTTGCGTCAAGAATTATCGGAGCCGAAATCTCATATCCGACAGTCATGAATGTGCGTTGATTTTCCGAAAAAAGAAAAACCTTGTGCAGTTTAATTTACAACTGCTAGAAAGAAAATAAACATTAAATCCCAAGAAAGTACACCGCAGACCTAAATATTTACAGACTTACGTAAGTCATGTGAAAGGGATACAATTGCCTTTAGGGAATGGACAACAGTCGTTCCGGTAAACGTCACAGGGTCGCGACCCTTACGGGTTAATGCACAAAATACTTATCGCAGATGCTTTCACTCGACAGGAAATGAACACTTAACATCCCCGAAATTAAGAAATCAACAAGAAAGAAACGGAAAGTGTATTTCAGTTTAAACAAACCTATTTCAGTGATTCTCGTTACTTCAATTGTGGCTTCCACAATGATGTCATAAACCCGTCAGTGGGACAGAGCCAATTTATGAAAGGTACTACCACAGATAATGACAATAATGAACTGGTAAACTAGGGACTAGAATAAGAACGTTTTTGGTTTCGGATCATTCTATTTTCAACCACGCTTTCTGACAAATTAAACCATTCCAGGGCTTTTCAAGCAGACGGTAAATGTCAGTCATAAGTGTGCAATAGAATACGTACTTAGCGGGAACGTTCTAAATTATGCCCACTATTGTGATCAAGCGATCTCACTTAAAGTCAAAAAGTCAAATAACATTACCATAAACATTTGGACAATTAAATCTGTACATACCTCAGTCGATTCTTTCTTTTTCTTGAAGTCAGTCTCCACGCCGCCCTTTACAGTTCCGTCTTTAGACAAAGCTGGTTTTTTGAGTTTTTCCTGGCAGAACAACTCTTCGACTTGATCCCAATCAACTGTAAACCCGTTGCGTGCCTAAACAGAACATAAATGTGATAATTTTGGTAGTTTAGAGTCACGAACTTTAAAGCGCGGTGGTCGTCGCGCAGCGCGTGTCCGAATTTCATGTAAATAAACAATGTAGTTTACACGCGTTGTATACGTCGCTATGAGTTCCATATCGAACAGGACGAGACACGACGACTGCTGCCCTTTAAAGGCCAGTGGTCGCAGCGCGTGTTCGAATTTCGAACAAAGATACAATGTATTTTACGGGCGTTGTATACGCCGCCATGAGTCCCATATCGAACAGGACACAGCGCGACGACCACCGCACTTTAATATGCAAATTTTTGAAGCGTGCACATGGAAGTACAATATTTCTTACCTGAGATACATTTGCCCAAATATTAGTTTTTCCCTCGCCCATAACTGAATTTGCAGGAAGTTTGCTCCAATTCAGGGTCCGCATTTTAGTCTTTGGTTTGGCTTTAGGGATCACAGGGGACGCGGGCAGTGTCATATGTTTATAGCCCATTAGTCCATGGGGCGGCGGAGGTCCTCCTGGTGGCGGAGGTGGTGGCGGCGGGCCACCCATGCCAGGCATGGGAGGAGGCGGAGGGGGTATTCCTCCTAATGTCGATAAAGATCCCATGAATGGAGGAGGCGGAGGCGGAGGAGGTCCGGGTGGTGGTGGTGGTGGTGGTGGTGGTGGCGGTGGTGGCGCTGGGAGCTCAGCCGGTGGAGATGATTCGGAACTAACACCTGAGTCCGTACTATCGAAAGTTCTATTAATCCCGTGAGTTAAGTTCGTAGCACCAGCGTGTTGTGTGGATATGTTTGAAGCGTCCTTTGCACACATTCCCGTGAACGCTAACGGCGGAGCACATGGGTTAACCGACACTTTCCGGACCCTCTGTGTGGGTGTAATAACATCAAATCTGCTCTCCGCGTCATTGTGGCAGGCACAAGAACAGTTACCCTGTTTCCCGGTTTTGGGCTTCAAACTGTCGACGACCTTTTCTAGTTCTTGCTCTCCCGTGGTGAGCAACCGGTCACCGTGTTCCCGTTTATCGATAAGTGTTGCGCGATGTACTAATTTTTCGGTAGTTTCCCAGATGGCATCACTAATAGGGTCCTTATTGTCCAGACGCAGTATATGTTGTAGTATAGTCAGGAAGGTTGTTGACTGCGGGCTGTCACAGACCTAGTAAAACAGAAGAAAGTTAAACGGGATCAATTTAGTTCATAATGATGACCGAAACTCACCGACACGAACCCGCAACATGATATACGGGAGTAGTTGGTACGTCGACCACACAATCGGATGTTCTAGTGTATTACTAACCATCCACCAACTTACAGATTTTGACATTTGAAACTAAATACAGTGAGATTAAATTAAAGTACGTCGCAGGGGTTGGGCATTTTTATAGTTCAAGGGTGTGGGATGGTACATTACTCATCTATCCGTTGGCAATCAAAGATGATAAAGGAAAAGAAGACAACTGGAGTGTGACATTACTGACATTTTAGGCCATGTGATTCACAGTCTATGCTGTAACATGAGAACGCATCACGAAAACAGAACGTATAGCTACCTACTCCCCAGACGGATGCTTAAATATTGTGAAATGTTTACAAAATACTAGTAATATCGGCCCTATAAAACTGTAACACGCCCACCTGCAGTGCAGTTCGGACTGGACGTAGAATTTGAGCAAAATGCTAAATCGCACTACCGTGTACTTTAGGACCCCCCCCCCCTAGAAACGGACACGGACTTTATAAACGGGTAAAAAACAACTCTTTAAACGATTCATCCCTCTATACTATATCCAGATTCACTTCATTCCAAAGATGTTCCCCGCTATTGTGGCCGTATGTACTACACACAAACAACACATGCTAATATGTATTTTTAAACAGAGTCGAAATATATATATATATGATATTTACCTGGCGAAATATAGCGTGGAAGACATCGAGGTGATTATTCAGATCCACTCCGTCAGGGCCAGACAATTGTTCTTCGTCCTGGGCCTTCTGGTCATCAAACACGTCCAACTGCACAATGAGTTCAACGTCGTCGTCTGTAGTTTCGCGTCTGAATAGAACAAAAATAATAAAACAAGCTATTAAAAACTTCTACTCTGCGGGGATTGTTTAAAATACTCACTATCCAGACATGTGTTACTGAGATAGTTTAGAATAGTTTAGCAAGCACCCCAGGACGGATAAATTTTAATTTAAACAGAAAGACTCCCTAGGACGACGAATTCTAAGTTGACCTCGTGGTCATAATTGTAATTCGGTCTGGGATACACCTAATTAGATTAAGATTGAATCAGTTAAAACAAATCATCTAAAATCAGAAACTCGGCAATATATTCTGTCGAGTGGGGGGGGGGTAAAGCTCACAATTGGGGTTGACCATTAGAAACTATGGGATCAGAGATGATACAACAGCAACTATGCAAAATATAATCTTCCTGGATTTTTGATCTAAACGCGTTTTTCTTTTAATTGATTACATCAAATATATATTTTGTCATAAATATATCTATTTCTGAAAATTCTTTTCGAATTTTTTTCAATTTAGATTTGTTTTTTTCATCCCCCCCTCCAGTTTGTTATGGTCACCCCCTTATTTTATTGTGTATTGTACAGAATGTCCTCGGCGGATACTTGTGTCTTGTATATATATATTGCACTCAACAACTTCTAATTGCGATTTAACACAGCGATCCACGATTCTCGAATCTGTGACGTTGTTTGTTGTACTGTGACGTAGATACTATGAGGTGTTGCAATATTGGAAGTCATTGTGGGGTTCTCCCGGGTTGTGAAAAGGTCGTACGGGCGAACTCAAAATTGACAAAGGCACCGATGATCATAAAACTATCCGCGTCTAGACCGGAACCATAGGCACTGAAATCTTTAGTTTCAGGAAATAGTAATATCTTACTCGCTATTAAATTGAAGTTTGAATATGTCTGGTGCGTCAGTCTTAAACAAATCACATGTGCTTTCCATTTACAGGTTAACACTGGGGATTTATTATTTCAGTTGATATGTTGAAATGTAAGTCGGCGTCGTACAGGTCCTACATCAAAACATTCTCCCATCTGCTTTACTTATAATCCAGGAGTGTTACATGGAATAACAGATTCCCATCCACTGGGAACATTTGTTTGCAATTGCCAGACTCGAAATTGGACGGAAAAAACAACAAGACGTACTGATGTGACACAGACACAAATACCCCGTGTCCTAGCAACTGCAGTCGTGGGTTACCTTACATCAGTATAGGCAAATAATAGTACGCGTGACATGATCTGGAGATTTGCGCCGTTAACACATTGTCACGGAGGGTGACTTACTAGTAGTTGTTAGTCGTGCTATAGCTGTGAATGACAGACACGATATCATTGTAGTGACAGGCTAAAACGATGTCGTGGTGATTGACTGGTACGATATCATAACGACTATTTGGCGTACGATGTCGTAGTACTTGGCTAAAACGATATAGTAGTGACTGCCCAATAGGAAATTGTAGTGAATATCGGTACGTTATCGCAGTGTCTGCTTAAATATGATATCGGACTGGCCGATACAATATCTTAGTGACCGGCTGAATATATATGGTGACTGCCCAGTACGAAATTGTAGTGAGGCGGCACGATATTGCAGTGATTGGCTGAAACGATATCTTAGTAACTGTCCTACACGATATTGCAATGATTGGCTAAAATGATATCGTAATGATTGGCTAATACAATATAACCGTAGTGATTGGCTGGAACGATATATTAGTGAATGGCCTACAAGATATTGCAATGATTGGCTGAAATGATATCGTAATGATTGGCTAATACGATATAACCGTAGTGATTGGCTGAAACGATATCTTAGTGATTGGCCAATACGATATGTCATTAGAGCCAGTGTTGTGTTAATAAAGTTCAAGTATGTGACACAGTTCCTAAATATTATTGACTCGCAGGTCTCGGCACTAAATTCTTGGAAAAAGCAGTGAACTGTCCTCTTCCGCGGTCGGGAAGGGGGCATGAGTAGCGTCTGTGTTGTGTCAGCTAATCAAGCGTACGTGTGATTCCACAGCTCACTGTTATTTACCCTCTATTCATGTAGGTCGTGCTCACCCACCCCTTTCACAGTATGCAGTATCAGTTCATTGTTGTGTGTAGGGTACGGCGACCAAGCGCGCCACGCCCGTCGGCATGGCAACCACCACGATGTTGCCATTATATGGTGAAGATGTGTAACAATTAACAAAACCCGACGATTCCAGCGCGGCCAACCCGCATAATATATATGTTACGCATACGTATAAAATTATCAGTATGGGTTTCCCAATTATTTAACAACATTTAATTTGGGGTTTAAAATGAAAGACATTTCGTGGAATTACCTTGAAACTTTAATTAATTATTTAAAATATTGTTAATAAATGCCCAGACATGTGTAACAACAATACCGCCGACAGCAATTTATTATATAGCTGATTGTGAACACGAACAACACCCCGGGTTCATTGTGTTAACAATACTGTTTAACGCTATTAGTCATTTGCGGCGTGTTTCAATACAAGTAAAACATCTGACACGCGCAGTACTAATTTATAACGCTAAATGTCGACAGGTTGGAGTGTATAGTTTTTTTTTACATTTAATTCTTTTCAATTGACGTCAAGTCGTTTCATATTAAAACTACGGATATGTCACGAACTCTGTATTTTAACGCCGTCAATACTATTGAGTTAAGTAGTAAACTGGCCAATCGTTTTGTTTCATTTATAAATCGTTCAGCCCACCATGGCATCGCGCCACCTAGCGGATGTACATCAATTTCGCCTGGCAGTAGATTCGTTTTATTAGAACCGAACGCAGTCGCTTTGAGGCATGGCCATGAAATGTGACAATGATATCCCAGCGAATATTCAGTAAAAACTATTTCCACCATATTGTCTGGGTAATGAGTAAGAGCATTTTACACATACAGGCTATCCATTTCACATACCAATTGATATTATGTGTGACTCAGTTTAGGATGCAATAACCGAAATATTCCGATATTAAAAAAAAACTAATAGCCATCGAAAAAAAGCTAAATCTGCAGCGAAGGAAATAAAAACGGGCTTCTATAGTTTCAGAATGACTGATTTTAAATAGCAAAGCAGCCATCTACATCGCCGGGCCAAAGGTCGCCACATCACAAAAGAATGAGATGTTGATGAAGGAGTACTCGGTGCTCGGAGTACGTTGAACTGGGAAATTCATGAATGGAGAGACATCGTGAATTGCTGGCGTTATTAATTAACATAAAGACGGGTTGAATCACGACAGACGCGAACAATGCATTGTTGCTATATTCGTGAGATGAGTGATTACGTCATCGTACTGAATATCCAAATTGATGGCGGAGGATTTATTTATTTAAGATCGAGGGAGCTCGGTCGACCAGTGTTTGTGTACACAGAATACCTAGTTTCAGCATCAGACAATACGTACCCCGAATACCATTACAAATATGTCAATTTTCATGTTTTATACTTCTCGGATCTCCCATTGTCGATTCCATACAAATCGCCAATAATAGGGAAATTGAATTATCCGGCTAATAGAACAAAGAGACGTCTGCACTCGATTTGTTCTATCTGTATTGTTGGTATGCAAATACCAGGTTATAGCAGGGGCCATGGTTAGGGAGGGGGTATTGACGAGGGTGAGGAGTAATAACGAAGCCAACACCGCCGGAATAAAATGATCGTTGTTCGCGATATTATCAGATACACCAATCGCGCATAGTTGCATTTATCCACGTGTCATTTATTGTGTACACGTAAAATAACACAATTCGAAACGACGTTTTTCCTCGTACCAGAGGCGTCAAAATATTGCGTGTGAATTAAAAAACAGTTCGTCCCTGGTTCAGTGTTAGTTGTGCATCTTACCGTGTAGTATGCACTCACAACGCACGCTAAGGCCTTTCAAACACTGGTGAACTTGATAGCAAGCCCCTGTGATTGGTGGCATATTCTGCCTAAAACGGTTGATTGAACTAATCCAGCTTTGTTTATATAGCGAATACAAAATGCTCTTATAGAAATAGTTTTCTTAATGAGTTTTTTTTTTTGGCTATGTATTACTTCCCAGGCCACTATACGCTGGAAATGGAATGCTATGGGGGATTAGATACGGGCGGTTTGGTTCGTAATATTGCTGTTATGGAATATTGGGGGCGAGGGAATATAAATATTAACGATGGATTTGTATAGAAATTGTTATTTCATAATAACACGTTACTTACCTTATAGCAGCTAGGACATCGATAATGCGAAGACCTGCAAGAGAACACACAGAATTATGTAAGTGCACACCACAGTACTCACAGCGGATGACGTAACAACGTGTAAAGATGCCATCTTTTTTTGGTTACACCGTTACTGAATTAAATCATCATAATGATGTGTTCGTTTCGTTCATAGACACTTACATAACGTTTTAATCTACCAGATCCACCTAAGCCCCCAGCGATGTCAGATGCCGAGGATGATTCTGAACAGAAGCCTCCGAATCGATTGAAAGGAATTCAGCGACGATGTCAACAATAATAGCCACGCTGCTAACGGAGATACTTACACGGAATACGAGAACGTTCGGAGTGACTCGACGCCTTGTTGGGGGTCGAATCTTTGTTAACAGGGATGTGCAAAGAATGTTCGGCATGAAACGGACACGATATAGACATCACTAGAGATGAAAACTGTCAAGTAAACCCTGGTTGATTTCACCACAGCTGGGTTTCCCATGCACTGCCTATTTCATCCTTAATATCGGCGTGTAGCCATCGATCAAACCGACACACCCCAGAGGCCCTTACACACGAAAACCACAGTCTGCCTCTGTGTAATAGCGTGTCCAATTAACTCATAATTCGACACGAAGATTCATTGTTTTGCGATTTGTTTCCGTTTTGCATATTTGCGATCGACGGCTGTTCAATTAAAAAAGGTATGTGACTAACCACAAGTACTTATGATTTATTTTACATTAATAAGATTTAAAAGCCTGTCCCTCTCATTGTTGGAAATTAGAAGCATAGAAAATTCGTTCATCGGAATGAAAATAGAACTATGTTTCAACAGTGAGTCATCACATTTCATCGTTGCTCACAGACATGTGTTCAAAATATTTTCAATACACTTTGAAAATGAAATCTCGAAACTCGACGGAGGTCACAGTGGTGGCAGTGTATTTCGACACACTTGACTTGCAAGCAGCTATGCAACGTGCTTCGCGGAGAAATAACAATCCTCACACAACAGCGAAACATACAATAGCCGAATCAATATTTTTAATGCAGCAATGTTCTGTATTTGACCTTTGACCCGCGAAGCCCTGTAACGAAATTCCGACTTTCTCGGCGAAGGGTGATTAGGGTTCGGCCCTATTCTGTTGTCGACACAACAAGCAGTGCACAGACTCTTTTACTCACTATGTTTTCTGTCAAAACTAATGTTTTGTCAGCGTCTGTCACGAATTTCCCGCCAATGCGTTAGCAGCAGACGACACCCACGAGTGACATTAGAATCACTGCGAAGCCTTTAGTGTGCAAGCTTACTGCTTATCTGCGTAAACTGCATGTTGGTAAATAACCCAGGCGGACACAGGAAGTCCACGTATCCTATAGTTTGCATTAAAGAGGCCGTATATCTCACTATTTGGTTGTTTTAGCAGATTAAGAGGTTGAGCATATGAGCTACTACCCCAGGCGCTGGAGGTTGTAATGTTCCGCTCGCCCGGTAGATGATGCTATACATAATGTTGTTTGAGTAGCATTATCCTACCGGGTGAGCGGAACATTATCACCTATAGCGCCTGGGGTAATGAGCTACCAACGAAAAATATATGCGACGAAAATGCACACATTTGTACCCCCCCCCCCACACACACACACACACCGGCCGACAAGCCAAATTAACATATTTGACCACAAACATTTGATGAACAAATGAAAACGCGAGTTTTCAACTACCCGTGTATAAGTGAATCCAGACGCATGCGCAGTTTAGAGTTTTTCGGTATTATCAGTATATAACACATACTGCTATTTTAGTGCCTGTATGGTCAATACTATAATAATTTTAGCAGGATGAAATATAGAATAAAAATTATAGAAACATAGTCAAAAATATTCTAAGCTATCTTCATTGCATCTTTTAAATGTTTAATCCAATTTAAATTCCTCAGTGTTCCGTTGTGTCATAGGTCTACCAGTGAGGCCACTTGCACTCTATATTGACACGTAGTTGTTTTGTTAACCTGTCTCTGTCAGCCAAGTGGTCAATTAAGTTTCATAGTGGCCCGGTCTACGGCTGAGTGATAGTTAAGAACTCTCCCATACGAGTTCACTCTCAACCATTTCAATGAAATGTATATCACTTTTCAAGTACTCTCTTTCACTTTTACAATTGACATTTTTTTAACAACATAACTTATGTAAGTGTTGGTAAAGCTTTAAAATTTATGAAGCGTCCAGTGCGACTAATTTTCCAGTGGAATGCAACCGAAACAGTCGATTCCATCTATTGCAGCTGCAGTCAATACCGTGTCTGTATTGTAAAAGCTGTGTTGAACAGGTCGTTGGAAAATTGTTGCTTTGAAGCGTCTGGGGGCAAAGGTCACCAAACAAACTTAGAGACTTGAACACGGTTACAAAACTATGGGTGATTTGTCTCGAAGTGCTTGCTTAGCAACGACGTGATCTGATTTTGAGAAACGATACGTGACGGTGATACTTATTCAACCGTTCTAAACTTATAGTTCTTCAATTTATTTTGTTCGCAATATCAGTCCTATTTTAGGGGGTATACTAGTATGGTACCCATTTGTTTCAATATCCTAGATCCAAAAAGGCCGCCGTGAATGCGAGTTAATGGTACGCGACAACTTGTGATATTCGTTCATCAAATACTATCTACGGGGAACTAGAGAATGGAAACAAAGCAGCTGCATTTTGTGTGGGACGATCCGGATATAGGGCTGGGATACCCCCGGTAATTGTCTTTGGGAAGCAGGAAATGTCTTAGTCATTCGCTCATTTACAGCGCCATCTGCCGACAGACGAAAGTTCCAAAGTATTACAAAGATTAAATAATTAATTAAAACAGTTAGGCTCGTTTCAAATCGCACTTGTAGTGATAGTTGCATGTGGGAGGTAGGAATGGAGGGAGGAGGGTGAAATCGTGTATCAATAGCATGCTATACAGTTACTTTATGTCGAATGACGTCATAGGTCATGACCTCGTACTGCAATGATAGTGCCCGAACTACTAATGCATTAGATTATGCAGCGATCAAACCCATTCAAATTGGCATGCGATTCAGGAACGATAGTCTCGGAAGTGAATCGTTCACCGACTCGAACCTTCTTTCCTTTAAATTGGCCAGAACAAAACTTGTTTCTGTCATTGGCATGGGAGCCGAGATCTCAAGTGGTCAGTCCTAATTTAGGGTCACGTGGATGAGAAGATATGTAATATGTGGGTGTTTCGGACGGGTTAATTTTGAGAAAAGTTATATTTTCAGATAGCAGTATCGTGTGGATAATTGTGTTTGCATGTTATGTGGGCGTAATAGTTCGGCTGGTGTAGCTTTGAGAAATCGGCTACCTTTACTAGTATGGTTGGTTCCTCACTTCAAACTAACCAACTAACTAAGAATTTCACAGCCACATTACAACACATACAGTGTTACCTAAGGGAGTAATCCCACGAGTGGTATTTCCTTTAAAAAATAGTCCTAACTCGTGGTCCGATGGGGTGGCCATATTAGGAGTAAACTCCCGGACACACCTACTTGTGAAATAAACACTGTTCAACTGTCGACCGGATGTGGTGTCAACAAAACGGCAGTCTCCAAACGCTATAGCAGCAATCAACGATAAAGCAGGTCAGGCAAAGGTCTCAAAACGTTAAATCCAGTGTATATTTAAAAAAAAAAACAAAGTTAACGACAAATATTCTTACCGATAAATTCATTTCTAAGTCGTGTCCTGTCTTCTAGTTTCTCTGTGGAAAGCAATATGCTGTTGACGAAAGCTAACAAAGCCGTCTTGTAGTCTACAATACCCGCCTTCTTGAGTTCTTCAACTACGAAACTGAATCTGTACCGCTGTCCTTTCGAGGTCTGTACCAAAATAAAAACAACAAATCAAAAAAAAATTGTTTCCAGAAGTACTAATTATATATCGTCACTGGGCAATGCCGGGTTCATATACAATAACTTGTTGGAACGTAGTAGCGATTGACCACAATCTTCGCCGGAAGGTGTAGGTGTACGATAAGATGCCAATTTCGTTTTTGACCAATCGAATACCAGGAGCCGTCTCCTGCGTTGACGCAGTGGCGCGAAAAACCAGAGATTGTGTTTACAAACACAACATAGCACAATCTACAACCTAGTTACGAATTTCTCACCGTGTTGATTAAATATTAATTCACCAAACCAGATGACCAAACTTTGTGTTTACGTATTCAAACATGTTGGACCCTTCCGACCGACTCACGCGTGTGTAATCGGTTTGGATAGAGACCATTAGATATGCATATGAAGTGCTATCCCTGGAATCAGTTAGCAGTTTCGGAATTAATGTATGGAATAAATAAAAAAGATTTTAAAAAAATGATGTTAGTTAGATTTAATACCAAACTATGTGACCTTGATTTGTTGCTCAATGAATCCAGAAAACTGCGTACATAACGTCGTAATTATTATGGTGAACAAAAATGTTAATAATTAACTAATTTCCTTTCAAGCTGAAGCTACAGTTATATTATTATAATTTATTCAGTTCTTATTGTAGTTCACTTTGTATGTGGAGCGGAGATCTGTAATGCAACAACGCGCATTATCATTGTTGACAGTACTATTATCATTACAGTAAAACGATCACTATTGTTGTAATTGTTATAGTAAATACAATGATTAATGGTGTTGTTGTTGTTGGTATAGTAACACAATGACTATTGTTATTATTATTATTATTTAATAATGACTGTGGTATTTTTATAGTAAAACAATATCTATTGTTATAATAAAATGATAGTAATTATAGTTGTTTTAGAAGTAGAACTGTTTGATGACGAGCTATTCTTTTCAACCAGACGACCTTTGTTTCGATCACTGTGCCTATTTTTATCTCGGCAAACACTTGTGACAAGCCCTGAAGTTGGTGTTTCATTGTTATCTAAATTTGTTACATAAACTTTCTAAGGTGCAGTCCGATACGACAATTCCCTTATTGTTCAACTTGAAATGATCGGTTTTTGCCAATCTAGATGACTTTTTCAACCCATAACACTGACGAAAAATGATCTATGTGGTGTCAATTAAACAATACAACATCGCCCATATAACTGAAACATTCTTCATAATCTAACTACATGTCACATGTTACATAAACCACGTGACCACGCATATGACCCCGTGTTTAGACATTTAGTATACCACAAGTCACCTTGGTCACAAAAATATGTAAGAAAACAGGAAAAAAAACAGCTCGTGGAATTGCAATTACCTGTGCATTGCGTCTGCCCACTACCTGTGCCGTCAATCACATTGAAACACTGGGAACAATACCCATAATCCCATGAGAACAGGACTTCCTGTTCATTGCAGTTCACTTTTATAGGGCTGCTGAATAGTGGCGTAATATTTGACAATAACGATAAAGACATGTCAGTGGAGTTATGTGTCAAATAGAATAATGGAATTGCTCGGACAAGAAAAACGGGATAGTGAAGTAAATGCGACAATTGTCTTCAAGAATGCGCCACACTATTCATCTCCGTTTTAAATAGACTGTTTATATATTGTGTACTTTAGCTCTTCCAATTTTCTTTATATTTTACCAACTCAGAGTTCACAGCTGTCAGTTTAAAATAGACTAAGCGACACGACTCGGAACGACATCACACCGATTATATTTGTCTATCTTTTAAATAATTATTTCGTCATTACTTTGTCCCATATTGATTTGTATTACCCTATATACCGTGCTCACTTTCTGTCATATTTATTTATTTATTTATTTATTTATTTATTTATTTATTTATTTATTTATTTATTTATTTATTTATTTATTTATTTATTTATTTATTTATTTATTTGTTAATTAATTAATTTATTTATTTATTTATTTTTAATTAATTAATTAATTAATTTATTTATTTATTTATTTATTTATTTATTTATTTGTTAATTAATTAATTAATTTATTTATTTATTTATTTTTAATTAATTAATTAATTT